CCTAGTGTATATCGCTGATTAATGTCTTGGAATATCATCTATTCAAAAAAGATGTAGGTGAAGAGATGACTCTCATAACTTCGAGTAGAACTCCATGGACGCAAGAAAATGTGGGGAAAAAATTCGAAGGAGACAATAAGAGAGCATGTATTGAGCTGAAGTCCTTTTCATCTTATGTTGACTGCCACAGTTATCATGGTTTCAGAAGAAAGATAAAGAGGAAAATGCGAATGAGAAGAAATAATAGCATATCATTTGAAACATGAAATAGATTCTTCACTATTTTCTAGATTGTTTACTATTTAAACATGAGATAGATTTTTCACTATTTTCTAGATTGTTTACTACTTTTTCTTTTTTTTCTAATGCAATCATTTTTCTCAAATGTTGCGAAATTTTTTTCAGGCGCACTGACCTCACTATTCGTATCATTGATTTCATCAATCTGTATGCTATATCTTTTCACGTCACATAATCACTTATCAGAACTTCGTAATGATTGTGCAACTGATATGGGCAAGAATATAACTGTACAGCTCAGGTTAACTATTTTTTTCCTCAACACCAACCGTCATTCAAGTCTGTTGCTATTCTTCGATACAATGAAAGGACATTGTAAGGTAGTTTTGTTCGACTTAGGCTCCAAGTTCGCGGACTCTCATCTTTCAGGAGTCGAAAAACATATCAAAGTACTACAGTGTTCTTTGAAGACAAGTTCGTAAAGCTGATCACTGGTGGCATTGAATCTACTAGCAATGCTGACATCATTAGAACGATCAATTAAACATAAATTGGAAAAGTGAATTGAAAACTTCAACAGCCCATGCTTACGGATCTAGAAAATTTGTGAGATTCCAAACAAACAATTTCCTCTTGAGTGGTAGGTAATACGCTGATTGTGCTAATTTTTCTTTCATAGCTTCGCCAAAACCGCTGTGATTGATATCAGTTCTTAGTCACTGCGTACGCTGCTGTCACAGTGCTAATAATTCGTGGCAAGATTGGCACTCACAAATAGTCAACCATTACAGTGAGATAGTGAAACCATTGAAAGCAAATAACGAACTCTTGATTTGAAATCTAGATGGAATTATTTACTTTTCTGCCGAGTTATTCCGATGTTATCAAAGGAAAACTTCCCTGATCCTTTTTATAATCACTACTAAGGTCTTCCACTTCTGATTTTCAAGAACATTTAATTTGTTGAGTGGAAAAGGGCATAAGAAATTTATGCAAAAGTTCTGGGTTTTGGTAATGACACATGCTTTTTCTTTCGCACTATATCTAACCACAGTTTTGAGATAGTTTTTAACTTATTAATTTACTTCGTCGCTGGTTTTGCCTCTGTTCAACATAACCTTTCTAGTAATCATAATTTTAATGTTTGAATATGCATATTAAGTGAAGTCGGGTTGACTAATTGAGTAGGATAAGTGAATAAAACTTAATGATTATATGACAGTAATTTACTCCTTTTTGTACCACAACGTCTTTTATGTGTGTAAATGTCAATATTTTTCTTGCTTTCCAAAGAACTCATGCTGATTTTACTCTAATTGATGAAGCTCTCGGCGTTGATGAGCCCTGAGTGGTACGCCATGCAATCTTCATCTAATATGTTAGGTGATTAAGTGCATATTTGGCCTTTACAGTGAGCCGCAATCCCTACCCATACATCAAGTCTGTACTAATATAATGTGTGACAGGTTCAGATGTGGTTTCAAATTGCCTTGGAGGAGGGATGGAAGGCTTGATGAATTCTGGGCACAGGACCATGTATATCGCACAATTCCTCTAAACAATGTTCTTCTTCGCAAATTTTCTTAAGCAAATAAAATAGAATAGAAATAAGTAGATGAACAAATAAGTAGACAACTGAATAGACAAAACTTTTCCTTCTTCATATGTGATTTGTTTTTTTATTATCGAGGTTGGTTACAGTAGGCGGTACAGGGAAAGCTTTCTCATGAACTAACAGGACAGATTTACGTGTATTATGCATTTTTTACTGGAAATTATCTCACGATTATTAGGACCGAATGTACTCGTCATTGATCGAATTAGGTTGAGAAAGTACTCGGTCGATTAGGCTGGAATTAACTTAACGTTCTAGACTCTACAAAAGGCGGAATCATTCAGATTGCCAGGCACTATCAAAAAAGGGTGTGATAGCAACCTCTTGTGTGTTTATCAAAGAGTCCGTAGTATCTCATAGATTATTTTGAATGAAATGATGCGAGCAGACTGAAATGAATTAGTGCCAATAGATAAGTGGTTGTCTTTCAGGTCATTCAATATGGAAAAGATGGTACTCATGGCATCCTACTTGCCAGTTCAGTCACATCCGATCGTTGCCTTTGTAGTATGTATCGATAAAGCTTTAAATAATTCTACGAATTTTTAACCAAGTTCATCAATCCAATAATTTTTTTTTGTCTGTGTAATTTCATCTGTTCGGCGGGTAAGTATGCGACTTAGAGTCTTAGAGTGCGGGTTCATCACTTTGCCAAAGGTTTCAGGCTAAAAAGTTCGCAAGTATGCCTTGAAATTTTCGTAACTTTGAATCAAGACCATGATATAAGTGGGCAAACTGCTTTTTCACCAGGGAATAAAAATTTCTTACGCTAAAAGTGATGAGGATCCTTGTGTCTCTTTAGCTAACCGATCAAATTTTGATGTGAGTCACTGACGCAGTAAACAACAATGGCGCTAGCCCGAATTACATTATGAATAATTGGATTGTGAATGACAAAGTATACCGATTGCAATCTTGCTAAGCCTAGAATACCTTGCGCGAACACCGCTGATAGCTCCCTTTCGTCTTCGATAAACATAGCACTTTTTGTGACAAGTCTTCACTTTTTTTCTTCCCTTTCATTCTTTTTTGATGAGAACGGACAAGCGCATACTACATTTGGGGAGGTATTACAGTGTATGTGGCTCCTTGAGTTTTTTGTTGGAGAAAATCTCGAAAGAAATTCTGGAATTCCAGTGCGTAGCCAGTCAAATGGGTGCCAACCCAACTTTGTGAATTTGACATGTGAAAACATAATCAATGTGCAAGTATGTCCATATACTTATGTTTAGATGACTATATTTGTATGTACATGGAAAATAGAAGTAAACTCAGTCAGTAATGAGTTTTTAGCCATCACTGAATCCGCCACTGTAAATAAGCAAGTAGAGTACATGGGACGCTTTAAGCCAGCGCAACGTGTCGCTTACACTAAAAGAAACATCTGTGGAGTGGGCCTACCTCTTTGAAACAAAGCCAGTTTTTTTTTTGTTAACGGGCTTTTTTCGAGAGAAAAATTCATTATTAGGGCATTCGCAACCCTTTCACTTGCATTCGGGAGCAGGATCTGAACAATCGCCTTTTAGAAGTGTATACTGAACGAGGGATCACGTAGTCTAAATTGGTTGATGCTTAACCAAGAAATTGAAGTTTAAACAATTATTTTCGAGTTTTCGTACATTAGTTTATTTGATGTTTCAAAAAGAAATAACTCATCGTAAAAAATATCTATGATTTAGCTACATTCATTTAATTCGAACATCTTCTAGTCGTCTTCTTTTTCAGATTACAGTGTTCGTTTGTCCTGTTGTGTCTTTTTTCACTGGCGGGCAAGATCAGATGTCTCTCGACTGGAATCTAGTTGTCATACCGTGTTCTGAGTCGTTAACTTCACAATCTACTTTTCACAAAAGACCTTTTATTGAGAGTGAATCATTTCGTTATGCACAACACACAGCGGGACCAGGCTTACTTAGATATCAGCGGTAATTTATCACAGTGCAAATTAGACGATGTGTTCCTCAGAAAATCCATCACCGAACACTTGTCGGTGTCCTGTGTAAACGAAAGGTGGTTGTTCAAAATGATGACACATGTGTTTCTAAATGAGTCAAATTTGTTTTTTGTTCCGAAAATTTGTTATCTTTTTGATGTGCCTTTTTCTGCGAAAGAAAATGGATTTCTCTGACTCTTATTTCGACAGTTCGGTTACGTCGTTGTTGTTTCAGTTTACTCATTCAACTTAAGTGTTATACACCAAGCAAAATTTCGTTTTCTTGTCACTTTTTCTCCAGAAGTTAACATCATGTTGAATTTTTCATTCTGAGTTTTGTCATATTGCATACGGGCTACAGGTTGTTTTCGTGTAGAAGAAACATAAAAATCAAATAAATAATTATAAAGGCGATTGTAAATGATGGAAGATAGACAAGTAGATAATTTCAATGAAGCTTTGATAAATAAATAGATTCTCAGTCGAATGATAAATTTCCAATTAGTGAAACTCTACAGTGCTTTGGACAGGAGATAAAAAGATAGAGTGCTTGACGTTGAATGATCTATGAGAGATAAGCCATGCAACCGCCTTCATCAACGATTTTGAGGTGGTCGAATGCATCTCTGGCTTTCACAATGACACGCGGTGGCCTTCCGCTATATCATGTCAGTGGCATTAACCTCTCATCGGGTACTTATTTGCCACAACAGAGGGGTTTGAAGCTTGCTCAGCTTTTGAGACTTCGCATTCAAGCATTGGCAAGGTGAGTAGTGGAGGTCATCTCTAACCAGTCCGTTGCGTCAAATGCTCCCCTCCCGATATTGATAGCGTTTCAAAATAAATCCATTTATACTATGGTGGTTATAGGTCTCAAAGATCTGTGCGACTCGCCATTAGCGTAGTGGTAGTCTCAACGCCACTATACCAGTTCATTTTCAAACATTGACTACATTTCTATACCTCTGGTTTACCGACGTCGCATCAAATTTGTGATTTATTAAAGAAGGAATTATCCTTGAAATGGTTTTTGTAAGCCTTTTCAGTTTTCAAAAACTTTTTTAAATTTTTGTCGACGTCAAGAAGAACATAGTTCTAATCTTTTAAATCTGGGTTTATAAAGCGAAATCGCATACCCGACCAAACCTTTGAAAAGGTTGGTGGCTGACAGCTAACATAGAGATGTTGAAGAATGAGTCGTGGCGTGAATGTAGCTTGGTGGTGTAGTGGTAGAGCACGCGTTCTCGGATAGGATAAAGCGCGGGTTTGATTCCCAGCTGAGGCCGTGCTTTTGCTCACTGCTCAATTCTCTTGGGAATGGCTTAAATCGTTACTTGTTATCTAAATATACCTGTCTCATTGTTTCATCAGCTAATTGATGTCCTCATTATTGACATTCTGATTTGTGTTGAAAAGCCTTTCGAAAACCCAAAAGTTTTCCTCACGCTAAGTGTATCATCACTTCAACGATTTTCTGTATGAAGGCAAAATTTTTTTTTTATATGCAGAGCATTATTTCCGCGGATTCTATGTGGAATTTTTTCCCATTCTCTACATTGCTATATTCTTTGCAGACCTTTAATTTTCTATATGCAACTTGTTTGAGTAGTATTTATCAAAGGTTTGTTGAAGAAAAATTCGCATTAAAGGCATTCAATCGATGATCTCCTCGATTTTTAGAAATCTCGGTTCCTCCTTGTAATGAGGAGGCGCGAATATCGGTAGCATGCTGTATGCAGCTGTGAAAGGACGGTATGGAGTTTTCAGCAAATGAATCGGTATATACATTGATCGATTCTGAAAGTGTAAAGATCATAGTTACCAGTAACCACGAAGTCCCTATAACTGAACATCATATACATCAAAGCAACTCCGACATTTTGTAAGCATCTGAACGAAAACATCAATGCCTGGTTTGTATAGTCGTATTTTTTGCATTTTGATCATTCTCGCTTGATAATGGGTAAAGCGCAAATTTTTCGGCAGTTTCAGTGGATGGGGTATGAGCCATACACTCGATCCCATACAACCTTACACAGGTGAATGAATATGTTTTTGAGTTATATACTTGTGGATGTCCAGAGATGCATCAGCACGGTGTCCCTCACTTTCTCCAGCAAGTCTGGTATTCATGACAATCCAGGAAGGATGGAGGGGTTTGTGAGCTCGAAATGTATGGTCAAATTATCACTGTATGCCTATCCTAGAGTATCTCTAATCACTGCGAACATGAGCATATGAATACCACACTTGCTGGAGAAAGTGAGGGACACCGCGCTGATGCATCTCTGGACTTCCACAAGTATATAATTCAGAAACATATTCATTCACCTCTGTAAGGTTGTATGAAATTGAGTGCATGGCTCATACCTCATCCACTGAAGCTGCCGAAAAAATTGCGCTTCACCCTTTATCTGCTGAGAATGATCAAATAAACCGACATTCGATATCATGTGTACATCCAATGAGGATGTTTAAGTCGAAAATTAAAATAATACATTTTATTGATACTCATATCCTATTTTCATTTGATAAAGTTGATGAACGGTTTTGATGAGATAATCAGGTAGCAACTTCTTTTGATTCAAGGAGTAGGCGATTGGTGATAATGAAGAAATTAATCTAGCACGGCTTTCTATGAATTTGAAATAAAACCATGCTTAACGGCTACCTTCAGTGTTATGAAAGAGAACACAGAAGATCTCACTGGATGACGCTTCCAAGATAACAATGCCCAATCCGAATATGTGGTGACGACCCATCTGTGCATCTATGTGCATATATCATTTGGTCATTCCTATATATAACAACCATCTTTAACAAAACTATGCCTTTAGACAACATTCACATAATCAATATCCATAAATCAAACTTAGCAGCATGGGATGCACTAGAAAGTCGTGGGTAGCATATGAAATTTGACGTGAATCAACAAGTTCCAGTAAATTTGCAAAGTGGATCGATCTTTTTTGATTAAGCAAGTTAGTGAATCAAAATCTGAGAACCAGCCGTAATCTAGAAATACTCGCCAATCTGACAATGACATTCACATAAGTGTTAGCAACACATTTCTAGTCTTGTGATCTTAGGAAGCGAGAACTGAAAGGCATCCTCAGCCTATAAATGCCCACGAACTGGACAATGATATCCACATAGGTGTTTAATGCAGATCGAAGAGTGATCATTGCAGAGCTGACCACCACAACACTATCATAATTTCAACCACAGCCTTGTATAGTCTTTAACAATTTACAACTTGGTCACATTTGAACTTGAGTATTCTCTTAATCAAGACCAATTTCCTCATTATATGGTTGCTGTGTTGCTTACTTGGTCGGCTTCGCAATCTCGGTATTTCTCATGTTAATTGGCTGGAAGTGAGGTGCAGCTCCAATGCAAAAAACTCGTAGAATGAAAATTGTAGCCGATCAAACCTATATCTAGTCTTTTTTCTTCAACTGAGCGGTCATATGTAGGTTAAGCTATAAGGGGTAGTGAATTGGTTAGTGATTCAGTCGATTGAATAGTAAGATGTTAGTTCGACTCCCTTTCTCAACACTCTTCCATGATCCACGTGGGATCGTGCAAGCTCAGCTAACCTCAAAACTTTAAGGTGAGTCGACTCGACATCGTTCTACAACATTCATGAAGGAAACAAATTTTTTGAACAGCAGCCGAAACAAGCCGCGAAATTTTCGGAGACTATTGTAGAAATGAATTCGATAAGACTGAGTTTTCCAAACCACGGACTGGAACATCTTTGAAGATGCTTGTTGAAAAGGAATTAACTCTATCAAATATTGAAAAAGGCCCCTTACACTGTCGACATAGTCCAATTTTGTGAAGGCCATCATAGAAAACCGTACTTCCGGAATTATCTCTATCACATATCATCTACCAATCATCATAAGCATCTAAGCCGAGCATCAGTAAACCGTCTTTGTGTTTGACATGAAACAAAAATGCTTACTGAGCTTCATTGCTAAGGGAGTCTACAACGATAAGCTAGATACTTTGGTATAAGGCCACTTACTATTACTGCTCCTGGCGAAAAAGTAGCTACGGATAGCTCTCTGGACTCTGCATGACTTGACTTTCTTCTAGAAGACCTATCGAATGATTATGTTGCTTGCTTTCGCAACTTAGCCGAGCATGTTGGGCCATAACTCTTGGTGTGCGATGTAATTCTGCACCCAGAAATACCAACAACCGAGATGAAATGAGAACCATTGAGAGAAACGAATATATGTTGGACAAAGGTGTCACAAGTAAATTACAAACTTCCCAAAAAAAAATGGCGAAAGGAGTGAAAGTCGAGGTTATCTAGTTCTTGATAACAGCCCCTCTGTCTGAGCCTCTCTTAACTAATTATACGCCCTGGCTTGCTTCAGTTGTAAAGTTTATAATTTAAATGTTCGATTTCTAATATATAAGTAGTAAAAGGAATCTATGGTGGTTTGTCTACAGACGTATACTTTGAATTTGCAACTTCCACACAACGCTTTCATCGTTATTTTTATTTAGTTTTACCTGTGAATGAGTGCTGTACGGTGGAGGGCCATCGTCAGTGTTTTCTGTGCTCTGAAGGTGGAACGTAGCAATAGCCGCTATTATTGTCGGTTATACTCATTGATGACGGGCATCCACTACGAGTTCCAATTACAATTGGAGTTTCAACGATAAAGTTCCCTATTGACGATAACAGCAGTTCATAAGAGACCTGGAACTAAGAAATAATGAGAATGGTGATATGAAGACGTTGAAATTTTGTAGAGGTGATATCACTGCTTGCAAAAGAAATATTCGCCTAACTAATCTCATGAATTTCAGTAATTTTCTACTGTCGGACAGAAACATTCAATGATTTTTTTTGTTCAGTAGGAAATTTCCGCTAGACAGTTAATAATTCCCCGAAGCTTAATACTGAAAAGCTCAAAGATGTATTTGTTTCTTAGAAAGCCATTGTACAACGCTATAGCTCAAAATGAAATTGTAGTTCACAATCGCCGTGTATTATCGCGCTTTAATATCGCAGGACAGAGCTCCACCCTTACTTAGACTGCTAATAGTTATTTGATAGCGTGATCTCTGATATTCCGAAGATATGTTAGCTCTTTGAAAGGATTTTTTTTACAACGCTTCATCAAAGAAAATAGATTTGTGTCTTACACACGCACATGCCTCACAGGACATAGCTCTTACCTCAGACCATTCATAATCGTTCGATAGCGTAAATCGCGATAATTTCAAAGCTTTGAGGAAAGGTCCTTTTACGGCACTGCAGCAAGGAAATTGAGATTGAGTTTCCAAACGCCGCGCATTGATAGTGGCCTATGGTATAGGAGTGGACTGCGAATGGATCACGAGGCTTCTCGATCGCGGTGCACGAATCACATGTGTCGATAAATTCAGTAATTTCTTTCCGCTTTAAAGAGAACTCCCAATTAAGACACATTAGTATGGTACACCAAGATTTTTCTCTTTGTTCATATGCCTTTCATGCATTACGTGACACTGCTGAGACTTAGGCTTACTAGCGGGTTTCATTTGGTAAAATAAAATGAAAATGCAAAGTTTGAGACGAAAAAATGATACAGAAAAGTTTCTTCTGCATTTCTATCACGAAAAATCTAGAAATACTTACAAAAAAAATTTCAAACAAATAACGAAAATCCGCGCAATAAGGCGCGACGTTTGTTGGAACATAATGTTATCTTTCCTGCTAAATCGCTGTGGAAATATTTTTTTGAAAAATATTTATGTTTTTGAAACTTCGAGAATTGCGCTATTTAATTTTCATTACTACTTTAGGGTTCAGCTCTGCCTAGCCAAATATAAGCGTGATAGTATTTGACACGTGTGAAACAATTTTATCCTTGGTGCTACACCATGTAAAAAGAATTCTCCAAATTTATGCCTTTCTAATACTTACTAGCAGTATACTGAAAAGTCGTTATCATCAAATGACATTTTTTCGAAGATCCCTGTCCGATAACAGAAAAATCAGTGGTCTGTCAAAGAGGGCTAACTTATAGCGCCCGATACACGTGTTTCGATCTTGCGATCTCGTCAGTCGGGCAGCTACTCTTTCTCGTCTTTTGCTAATCTCTGTGGGTGATCCAGTCCCCACACTAAGAGTTAGCGACGACGAACGTTTTACACTCTATGTGCAAAGAAATTTCACCGACACCGAATTTTGCGTAGCTCAAAAAAAAAAAGATTATCAGGCATATTGAAATTTGAGCTGTGGTTTCAAGAAAAACACTCGATACGAAAGATATGATAT